TCAAAGAAGCTCTCCCCCGCCCTCAGGTGGGGAGAGCTTCCTTGAAGACGCGTGAGCTATCCTGCATCCTAGCTAGGAACTTCCTCTTGCTAGTAGCTTACTCCCTTAATTAAGTAGGCACTACTTGATTAAGTAAGGAGGCAGGGCCACGGGCTAAGAAAAAACAGTCGGCCCTTTGACAACATGTTGCGCCATGCTTCATTACACACCATTGAATTGCAGCTAAACAAGACCTAACCTGATGACGTTGCCCATAGCATCCCACAGCTGTATGCTTCCCCGAGAAAATACGTGATTCATACCACTGGAGGATGCAAGGTTTGGAAAGTGATGCGACTCTGCCGTTGGAGGACTTGAGGCGGATGCTGTGGTTCCTGCCTCGGCAGATGAGCTCAATGAAGAAATTGAGGCGATGCGAAGCATTTATGGTACCTTGGCATAGTTTGATTCAGGAAGGGGCTTGTGTGGAAACAACAAGTTTCAACTAGAGTAGTAGTTTCATTAGTTTCCTAGCTGGAAGGTCACCTACAGTAGACATCTACCCGACCCTTGCCCCATCAATCTACAACAAGTTGTTGCACTTACCTTCAGGATTTCAACATACACTTGGACATAATTAGTGTTCTTGCACCAAGCATGACCCTGAAAGCCCCATTTGTAGTTGTTTTTGCCTGACGCTTTGATTTTTGAGGAATTACAGTAGGGTAACCATTTCTGTTGGGTTGGGTGGTTGTGTTGGGTGGTCAGTATATTACAAGATTATAGGGGATAATCCCATATAATGCTTTGCAAGCAGTGAAAGCCTTATAGCCTGTCAGCAGATAGGGATGGTTTGTTTCAATGGCCTCAAATGGCCAAAACAGGCGAATCACTGGTATATCATAGACGCTGAAAGAGGAAGATAATGCATTGATAAGACTCGTTCGTTTTTAACCACCCCGCTCAGGCGAGGAGGATGTCCAGAGCTTCGGACAGGCGAGGAGGATTCAACCTTGGTACCCCCAAGACCATGCCAATTGGGGTCTTCAGAGCACAATGTGAATTTGAGCCGTAGCCCATATGTAGTAACGTCCAGTAGCTAGGAGTAATTACTTAAGTAGGCGCCTCCTTAATTAAGTAAGGAGGATGGCCACGAAAAAAACAAGGTCAAAAAAGTAGACGGCGTGCATGGGCAAAGGAAATAGATTGATGTTTCGACGTTCTTAGGTCCGAATCCGGACGGTGAGATGCAGCTACGCCATAGATTTGTTTGCCGGTCTTCTAAATTTAGCTAACCTAATAGCAATGGCCTCCAAAATACAGTAATTCAACATTTAGCTAAACTGCTGAACTTGATTTTTGTACACTTAAGACAGCCAACTTCAGCTAACCTTGAAATAAACGCTCCTCCAGTTCCGATTTCAGTGTTTGTGGAGTACAATGTGCTCCCTTCAGATCTACACTGGCCACACTCTGACTGGCCAATCTGTAAGTGAAGTAATAAACCAGTTTAATCCATCCTTGGTTGATGGTTTCGCAAGCAAAAATCTGAGGTGACCAGCATCAACGAAGGTGTGAGCTTTTAGTGGCAACATGTGGCAAAACATGCGGGCTCCACAATATCTTTCCGTCACCACCTTTTAACTTCCGTATCGTTTTCTGGCCTCCACAAGGACTTTGAATATCTGCAACATGTATGTGCAGGCATGTGCTGCGTGGAGTCTGCAACCACAGGGCAAAGCTGTAGATCTTATGGTCTTATGGTCCATGGTGAGCATGCGTGTAGGCCCAGGCCATTGTCTACAGCAGGGTGTATTGTGCTTGCTAAAATTTTGTATAGAGTATAGAAGAGGCGGGTGCCTTGGCTGAATACAAGTTGCAGCAAACCCTTGTCCGCTTGACTGACGCAGACAACATTGGGATCGTCAGCCAAGCTCGTCGTCATCATATTCAAGCCCCATGCACCCTGGGACATAACAGGAACAGTACGAGAATCCGTTGGTTTCTTAGTTTCGGAGGGTATGGCACTATAGTGCTCATCGTAATCAAGTCAACGGGTTTGATTGTATGGTATCCTTCCCAACACGGCCTCTTGTGTACTTTTTCGCAACGTAGGGTTGACCTTTTTTGTGGTTTGATTTGTTCCAAGGGCAAACTTAAATATGCTGCTTGTGATGGTGATTGCCTAACAGGCGGGGCTTGATGGTTTTGAGCTGCTCGTGACGCTTCCAGCCAGTGGCATTGGTGGTGGTGGCGGCAGGCAGCGTGGCAAAGAGATGATGAGTAAGGATCATTTGTTCCAGTGTTTGTTTTTGCGACTTCAGAAGATGCGCAGATAAGTTTAGTGCGCCTGAGAAGTTGCGGTTGGCTGAGTTTGTCTCAATATGGACCCTGCAAAGCGCAGGGGAGTGGAATGTGGATGAAGCTTCCTTCCTTTGCCCTTTGTAAGCAACTGCCTGCTTTCAGGTGGACAATGGCCTTCATGCTCCTTCGCTTCAGTTGGGTGTGAAGCAGTGGTCCTTGTATCCATAGAGTCAAAAGAAAAATGCTTGTATCTTGTATTAACTTGTAACATGTGTATATATATATTTATACAATAACATCTCAATTTGAGGTAACCACGTTTCTACACTCAGGATTCCAGCTGGTTTGCTATATCCTCATGTGTCACCCTTGCTGTGCCCACGGTGGGGCGCTAAGAGATTTGAGAGTGGGAGTATGGGTTTGGTTTCTTTTCATGTAACTTTGAATTGTCGTTTCCGCTGCAGCACAAATGCTCACGCAAGTCCGCTGCTTAGTGATTCTGAAACATATGCTGGAGCATTGCTGGCAGTCAGAGACATTTCACGATATTTCACGTTTGCCCAAAATGGGCGAAAGGGAGCTTGTTGGTTAAGGCGTCCGAATCGCACCTTCTCAAAATGTACGAGCTTTGACCAGCACAGGATTATTCATGATGATACGTGAAGGGGAGCACACCCCCAATGTGTTGCAGCAAAGTCCAAGATCAACTCAACGATATAGTCAACGATTGTTGTGTTGCCATAGTCCTGTATCCCAGACCCTTGAATCCGACTGATATGAACAATGGCAACATGGCAGTTAACCTTCAAGTCGTTCCAAGCGGAAGCTGCCCGGAAGGCATGAACGTTTGCGAGAGGCCAACCGACCACGGCTCCTGGAGGCCAGGAGCGTGGTTACTAGGGCCATGGCGTGGTCACTAGGGAGCTGACCAAGCAGAGCGGCCGGAGCGCCTTTTTTGGACTTTTCCGATCATGGAGCCCTTTGAGAAGAATCGCTTGAAGAATTGTGAGATCAAACTGATCAAACGATGAAACTGGAGGACTTCCTGGGATCCGTTTGAATCCATTTCCTTTCAGGCGCTTGGAGACGTTTGCCGACAAGCCCTTGGAGCTCCAATGTTTTTCATTCTGTGTTGCGCGGCTGGCAATTCCATGGGATCGAAGACCGAACACATCAGGGTGTTCGCTTTCGACAGAAAAGCGGAAAGCTTCCTTCCAAGGTGAATGGCTGCAGGAGAATGGCCCACGCTTCCTGGTCCGTGCAGACAGCGAGAAGCAGGAGAGCTTCATGGATGACTCAACAACCCGACATACAGCTGACATGTGGACGTACTCTGGGGAGTGTGTTTTGCATTCTTGCACCTCATAATCTGGCCCAGTCTATCTCTCAGTGTGTCCTGCATTGACCGACTTTGCTTTTGCAGAGGAGACATCCCAAGCCGAAGCCCTGCGCACATCACAGCGTGACAATGCAGTGAATCGTGCCATGGAAGAGTCGGAAGCCAGAGTCGGAGATCCAAGTGCTGCATGCACGCGCGCACTGTCAGTTGTTTGATGATTTGATAGTATTTGATATGAGTTTGCATGTGTAGTCCAGTGCAGTAGTCTCAACTTCCGCATTTGCTCCGCAGCAGAGTAAAGGCGACAAATACTACGTTTCAACGCCGTCTCCAGTCTTGGTATATTTGTGGGAGAGCACCAAAAGCCTCAGTTGACTTGTTTGTTTGGGCATGTGTCAGCAACTGGCAGATCAACAAAAAGACTTGATTTCTGCCGGCCTAGGCACAGCAGGACCAAGAAGCTGCTGCAGAAAAGGCCAAAAGGTGTCAGTGACTTGCCGCAACGCCGGCAGATTTGATCTCGAAACATTTGCTTTGTCAAGCAAACTCTTGTAATGTTTAACCGACATGCTACCGTACGAGGCGCAAGTTCTAGGTCTAGGTTGGCAGTCTCAGACATTGGGATAAAGCATTGTTTGGAATAGGCTGGCCTGGATTGGTTTGGGTGCGTCTTCAGAAAGAGCTTCAACTACGACTTAGAACCAATGCCGCTGACACTCAGACCTGTTTGTTAAGTGTTGATCCCATGTATTGCATCAGCCCTTCAGCTGTACCATCTCTTGGTTCCTGAAGAGGAAATCTGCAAAGTTTGTCTCTTTAAGCAACTATCAACATTGATAGTAGGGCCTAGGGCCTAGGGCTTGTAGTTTGGAGGAGCGAACATGCCGCGAAGATGTTTCATGTGTCAATATGTGCAGAGCGCCAAGAATCAGAGAGCCACAAGGACACTAGGACCTAGTTCAACACTGTTGGCTTGCACAAGTGGGCTGTGTTTGTACCACCTGTCTGAGACTTTGGCATTGTTTACCTACCACTTTGACGGCTTAGGTACTTGCAGCAGCTTATGTCAGAGGACTGCATGAGTCCGACCCACATGGCAGAATAATTCTGAGCTTTTGGGTCTTCAGCCTGATTGGTGTGCTGTTGCTGGCACTGTCAATAGAAGGTGGGATAGTCGTGGACAATCTGTTGATGCGGTTCATAATATGCATTAATATGCTTGATACTATAACTATAACGATCTATAACATTATTATACAAATAATACAAGATACTGTAGTATAGCGTAAACAAAAAACACGATTCAATCTATCCACATCACGTGCTCTCTTTCCGACTCATCACATCGACATGCTGGGTTGTTGTCGCTGTTTTTGGATCAAGCTGAAGGGCCACTGGAAAAGATCACACGTAGTAGTACGTCACGTAGATCCGGGCAGTGTCTTGGCAAGGCAGACTGCTGTCAAGTGCCAGTGATGCCTCGTGACACTCCACTTGACCCGTGTCACATACACACATAATATAAAACATAATATATATATATATATAGATATCAGCTACACCTTGATGTACGAGACTCGTTTCGATCGCCGTGTTGATGCCGATCACTTCAACGAGGTCATGGAGTCTCCTCAATCGGGCCTTGTTGCAGGCGATCCCAGCAAGCAATGGGCTGCTGGGACCCAACAGTCGTAGTCTTCGTTGAGGGCCCAAAACCATGGCTTGTGGATGTGCTAATATTGTTGTGAAGAATTTAGTGTTCATCATCTACCACATCATGCAATGTGATGTTGTGAAGGTCACAGGTCCGGTACAACACAGCACAATCTAATAGATTGATTAATACATACAATATGGTGTAAGACAACAATACAGTCTATGACTTGCATTTACTCTCGTCAGTGTCATTCACTTGCAGTGATCACACTTGGACGGAGCGGGCTTGGATGGAGCCCATCCACACTCAATTGATGAATGCAAAAGACACGATACTCAGCCACAAGACTCCAACTCAGTTTGTGGGTGTTAGCAGAACTCAAGAACTGAGGAGTGGCATGAGGCCTACAGAATCTCCACTGCAACTATCATCAAATGCCTACAGTATTTGTTTTGCTGCTTCAGAATTGAAGTGCCTAGCTCTTTGGATTCCGTGACGCCCATCGCTGAGGAGATCTCTTCAAGAACATGTACCGCACCACCTACTCTGAAGCTTGGATTGGACCAGGGCCACAGCATGGCGCAGCCTGCAATGCCCAGAAAGCAAAAGGGGTTACCCTCGGTTTGTCTTACAAGAAACATGGGTTGAAAACGCATTGGTTGAGGGGAGAGCTGTGACATCCTGTGACAAGGGTACGCCCAGAACCAACATCCAAGGACATGTCCCATGGCAGGGAGACCTATGTGAGGAGCGGCTTGGCGCAAGAAAAGTGCACAAGATAGGAGCAGGGTAGTTGTAGAGTAGTCAAGAGAACCATGTCACACATGACTACCGTAGGCTTGAATTTGCCTGGACATTTGCAATTCGTACTCAGGTGACCTCCCTGCTGGCTATGGTGGCCACATCCCGTCCATCCGCTTTGATGTCCTTCATCGCAATACGGCTTTTGACAGGACAAGTGGTTGGCGTTTGGAGCTAGTCTAGTCAAGTCCAACTGATGGAACAACTACGGAATGGCAGAGGGTCCTTGCAAAACATCCTAAAATCGCAGAGTTTTGGTATAGTGAACAAACTGTAAGGCCTGTAATCATGAAGGCTCAAATTCAGTTGGATGGAATTGCATCTCACAAGACATGTCAGGAAGATGGCTTTGCTTCGAACCGATCCCAGCCGTGATGCGCCAGAAACCCAGAGATGCACCGGGAAACTTGTGCTTGGAGCAAAGTGGCAAGTCATACTGTGCACAGGGATTGTGAGGCCACTCCTTCAAGGGCTTAGTGGATTTTGCCTAGCTTGATTGGCGGATGATTGATGGCGTGTTTAAAGTTTTCTACAAACTAGCAAATGGTTGCAAGTTTTCACAAAATCAAGTGTCTCTCATTCTCCTGAGGATGCCTTCTTTCAAGTCAAACTTGGATGGAGTTCCATGGTACACCAAGCACCCCTGCGGTGCTAGAAAGAACCCGACTAAAGGTGACTTGGCAAGATCAAGACAGTGTGGAGATCAACGTGTGAGTGCCTTTCCAGTCGCCAAGCCAAGCCTTTGGAGGTCCATACATCGACAACATGGAGATAGATAGTCAAAAAACAAGAGATGAAACAAAGAAGGTACGAGCTCCTTTAAAGGGTCTTTTTGTTTATTCATTTTGTTTAAAAGATACACCATTACATACTATCACTATTACTGTATAGAGAGGGCGTTTTCGTCCGACCAAGGTGTTGTTCCCCACAACGGCACGACGACCATGCTGAAGCCACCGAGCTGCAGAGCTCGACTCGGTCGACTCGGTCTGGATCTCTACCTATCCCATGGATTCCCAAACGAGAAACCCATCGCTACTAGGAGCAAGGACGCTATTAGGGGCTCCTGGCCTTAATACTAGGAACAAGAAGCTACTAGTAACAAAGGATAACAAAGGGCATCGCTACTAGGAACAAGGACGCTACTACGGGCGGGGTTTAGTTTGGACCCAATCGATGAATCATTGGAGAGGTTAGGCTTTGACCCACACATTTGTGCTCCCCCGTCACCAGGTTCCGCACGTGGAACTTGGATTGAGGCCACCATGGGGCATTCTGACCGGAAAGCGCGATCCACTGAGCGGGCCTCAGGGGGTCTGATGAATCCAATGGTGAGGTTTAGTGAGGTCTGCAAGTATGCATGAATGATCATGGATGCAGTCGATCATTTTGACCGAACCCAATTGCTGTTCCTGCCGCATTTGAGTCAACTTCCATGGAGTTTTTCTTAGCCTCAGTCATGCCTCAGGAACTATCGAGCAGTGCCAGCAACCATGAAACGCGAGAAGCCTCAGGAACACCTGCCCATGCAGAGGAGCTTCGGGTTGTCACACCCAGACTCTATAGACTTGCCAAACATCCAGCGGCGAAAGCCAAAGGAGCTTCAGAATGTTGGGTGGCACCACAAGCTAATTATCAGGATCCAGGAACATTCAAGTTTGCCACTTCCCAGCAAAGAACATCGTTCAGCAGGTGGGCGTAGTACCCTCAGGTGCCCCTTTGCCGGCTGAGGTGCTTTGTCTTCGCCAGCCGTGGGGGAACGTTCCAATGTCGCTGCTCGAAACGTCGCTCTGCTGAGGGCGGGCCCTGGAGGGTAGGGGAAGTGAAATCAAGTTCTGTGTCATGTAAATATGCCGGTGACTTTTCGATTCCCATTCTTTGTTCTCGCTGGGCTTGCATATGCTTGCCTGTGCTTGCATATGAATTGCCTCGCAGTAGTCAGCATCCACCCATAAATCCATATGAATCCAACTTTCTCAAAAAATCGAGCATATCTCTAACCAAGGCGGGCTCCCTGATGACCGAGTCCAGCAGTGCAGCACAGCTGGAGCCACCAATTGCGTTTTTCGCATTTTTTGTGTGGCAAAGATGGAGGCACTGCAAGACCGGTGCTCACTGAACCACTTAAACACACAATCGAGTTGTTGTGTGCCCAACAGAAGGAGAGAGAAGGTGTATAGTAAAGTATAGAGGGAAAACATGGGAAAGCCGGCACCGTCATGCGGCTCAAAGATGTTGTTGTTGTTGACCATCAATAGCTGAGGTGAGTTTTGGAAACCTGGCTGTGATTTTCAAGTGGGCATCGTTTGGGAATTGGGCAATGGCATTGGGACTTGGGCCATCAACTCTTTGATAATATGTGGACAGTGTGAGTGTGTGTGTGTGCGCTAACCAGACATGTTTATTTTTACTGTTTTAGTTTATCAGCGGGGCCCCATGTACAATTATTGACTTTGATTGACTGACTGAAGCCAAGAGCTCACTATAATGACGTATAATGAATTGTATAAAAGTTTGCTTAATTAGTACATACATATGTGTGTATGTATTGCAATTGCCAAAAACCAGGCAAGTCTTTCACTAGCATTGATTCATTCCCAGGAGATGCCGAAAGCTGCAGATTCTCCCAAACCGAATATGCAACCTGTCAGCACTATGCTAAATGCTGATAGTGCTGACCCGCTTAGGACCAAGAACCCTTTTTGCAAAGCAAATTCAGGAGTTTTTTGCATTTGTTTTTGCCTGCCTGCAAACGGCAACACTGTTCTTTTTGCTGAGTCGTGGAGGTGATGTTCTTTCATGTCTACCGTGCTTTAGTTTTGACGCTGGAGACATGCACCGGGTCGATCCTTTCACTCGAACATCTCAAAACTGATTGAAGGATTTTGGAAGGCCCTAATACATGAGCTATCAGCGGGAGAATGTAGATGATCTTCTGTCATTTATCCATTACAAGGGCATTTCATCCAAGGCTGAGATTGAGTTTTCGTCCAAAATCAAAGATACAGTTACACGTTATATGCAGTATATCGCAGTATATATATATATAAAAGCAACCACTTTTACTTAGGCTTTACTAAAGTAGTCTACGGCATGCTCTATTTGCGTGTCTATCATCAGTATTCGCTTGTGAACGAGATAGGGATACTTTTGCTTGATGACACGAAAGTAGTCTGAACGAGATAGTGTGATATGCTACTAAAGTAGTCTGAACGAGATACTGTTACATGTCCTCCTACTTAAGTAGTCTAAACGAGATAGAGCCCCCACATAATAGATAGTGTAATTGAGTTTAGTACCAAATAAATGCCGCCGCACATATATATATATATATCCTTGGATGCTGATGTGCGAATCCTACAACACCTGCAAGACGATACCGACCTACAGTGTCCATGTGCCAAACGCTGGAATACGATGCGGGATGTCCCAACTTTGAATGAACACATCCTTAAAGAAAGGAATTTGAAAACAACTCAAAATGATTCACATGTTTGGAACACAAATTCGTTGGTGGTCAAGTCCTCTTTGGAATGAGGCGCTGGGCTGACGAAAGCCAGGCAGCTCTGATCAGAGTCAAAAGTTGCCCAAGAATGTCCAGAAGTTGACATCAGAAGTGAAGTACAAGATTCTCCGCTGAACCTTTGTAGGAAATTCCATCAGAAGTACAAGCCTCTTGGGCTGCAAATTCTCAGCAGCGACATGGCAGGATGAGATGGGCCAATCGCAGATGCTGGAGCAGAGTACGGACATTTGATGCTCAGGGTGAATCCGACTGGCCTTTCCATGGGATGAAAGCCACCCATGGCACAGTGGTGAAACTGATTCAGTTCAGGGCTTTGCAGCTCCAGTGCAGGCATGAACTGATACATGTGCAAACCACATTCAAGTCCTTTTCACCAGCACAAGCTTCACTTTACAGTTGTCATACAGCTGTTTTTGGCTACAATACCTGCACTGACTGTGGGTGTCCAATCTCTGATGAGACACGGATGTCCTGTCCTGCGGGTCCGGAGTTTCACCGTTCAGTCTGGGAGTACTCCAAGTCTCAATCATGTCATGTGGAAAGCTGTTCGGCTGGCGTTCAACTCGTTTCACAGTGCTTTGAGACCATTTATATCCATATCGTGTTGATGAGAATTTGCAGAATTGCGATGTAAATGAACTCAAATCCAGCTAGAGGCAGTCATGAGTGTCACCAAATGCTTGCAGTCTACAAGACGCGAGCAGCCGTCATTTGACCCCTTGTCACTGTTTGCGACGGTCCAAAAACCGAACCATTGAGACGAGAAGTCGGATCTCGGGCCGTGAGAACCTCCAAATTGGGGTTGACAAGAAAAGAACATTGGAGAACCATGGCGAACAAAGAACGACACCAGTTAGAACAGTTTGTTTGCACGTTCTGTCACACGATTTTAAAGAAGGCGAGTTTGACTCGTCCGAAACTCTTGAGCATGTGTTTGTTTTCGGTTCAGATCATTGTGGTGGAAGGTGCCTTTCTTTACAGGTGTTAACCTGCTAACATTGACATGTCTTCGGGCCACATGAAACTGGAAGTTGCTCGATGATTGGAACAGCTGAATCTCTGGGCCGTACAGCTGAGCGGCTGGGCAGTTCTTCGATGATTGAGACATCATTTAACATTTCTAAGTGATGGCCAGGAGTCAAAGCCCAAAGACAAGATCGCTGCGGAGATTCGAAGCACTCCAGAAACTGGGCTGGTTTTAGCGGCGAGTGTTTTGGTAGCACCCATTCTTATCATTTCTTCGTTTGTCTTCTTCACAGTGATTGACGTTTTCGTGGATAGGTCTGGATGGTCTGGGTCGATTGGAGGGATTGGAAGACTGGAGGGAGAGGATGGTGTTCCTGGGATGATATAGGTGTCTTGCATAGGAGGGGCTTTGCATGGTTGATGGCTCTGCAAGTCTCTCAGGAAACAGCACAATTTGATCTTGCAGGCTATGAAGATGCACAGGCGGCGGCATGTCATGCAGATCGTGCCATTGGCTGATGGGAGTTGAGGTCCAACTGAGCAAGGGCATACAACCGGAGATTGACTCTCCCCTCCCTTACCTCAGTGGTGAGTAGCAAGCAGCAAACATGTGCGGCTTTCTAGTGTGTTGGGTCCAGCAAACCCGAGAGAGTGTGTCGCACGCGTCGCATTGTGTCATAGGCACATCGGTTTGCAAATCATATTTCAACAAGTCTGAATGAACATACCAGCGATGGTCTCCAACCTACTACTGTAGCGATGGCCTCCAACCTGCTAGCAATGGCCTCTAACTCAGGGATACTCAGGGTTAGGAGGATAACTGACAGGCTTTGCCAACCGGCGATGCCCTTGGGGGGACTGCGCTCTTTGGACAGCAAAATCGACGATTACCACAGCTTCTGACGCCTGCGCATACACACTCCCATACAGGTGTGCGCACGAGGGTCTGATATAAAAAGCCTGGCAACCTCAGCTTCAGACACACGTACCCACATGCACACCCGCACACGGGCGCGGGCACACCCAATGGGAGCCACCTTTGCGTCAGCGAACCCTGTAAACACAGATAGCTTTAGGCTAGAAAACGATCAAGAATACAGTTGTTTTCAGCGTTTTCCACGCCAACCCTACAAAAAAAACGCTCTAGGTTACGCTGTCTTTGTCCCCTTGCACGCTGCCTTTTTCACTCCAAGTTGGAAAACCCTCGGAGTTTGCAGCATTCTTTGCCTAGACATCAACAAAAGATAGAGAGCACATCAACAGCGTTCAGCTCCAACAGGGATCCAACATGATCAGCATCACCCGCTAGCGGCGTCAAGCATCACCAACAATATCGGATCTTCACTAGTCTCATCTGCCAAAGCTAGAGACTCTCGAAGCCGTCTTGCATACTTTGTCTCTCCCACAGGTAGTCATCTCGAACATTAAAAGGTGCTTTCTGTCCAAAGGTCTCACTTTCATTGACAACTATCCAAAAAACTTTACAAACGCACCTAAAACTTAAAACATTGTAATTTTCAATGTTTTGTGCCTAGCCCTAAACCAAACAAAATCCTGAAAACGCCCTCCAAATCCTCTAAGGAATTTGGTTTTTATGTGAATAATGCTGCTCGTACTCTGGTGATGCCAATGGTGCTCGACACAAATGCTACCTCAAAACTTCCTCTCCCCTTTGCATACTTTCTTCTCTAGAGATAGAGCCTTACAGTAGCCATTTTTGGACATGTTTCTTCTATCTTTGAAGTAAATACATACGTCCTGGTGATGTTCACAATGTCCGTTTGCGGCTGACATTTCTAGCACCACCTGGGGTAATGTGGTTTCTTCAAATAAGTCACGAATAGAAACGTAATATCGCAGTCAGGACTTTGTAAAGCTTATCGCAGTCAATCATAAACAACATACATTTGCAAACACACTGTAATTTACAGTGTTTTGCGCCCAGTCATACATCAAAAAAAACCCTCAAAGCAGCCTCCCGAGCCCCGAAGGATTTGCATCTTTCCTGCTGAGACTCTGCTGATGCTCACGGTGCTCGACCATAATTTGTCCTCAAAATTTGATAAAAATTGTATCTCCTTTTCGATGCTTTATTTTCTAGAGGTTTGGAAATAATAAGATTCACGGTTGCTATTCTTTGTCGTTTTTCTTCTATTTTTGACGTTTGATCCCTGGTGATGCTAGAAATGTGGGTCCGCGGCATGGAATGCACCTCCGTATAGCAAGCTAGCTTGATAGGGTCACCGGACGGCATCGCCGGATAGAATGGGCTAACTAACGCCTGGGTGCTGCCGACCCCTACTCGGAGCAAGTAAGACAAAGACAGCAGAGCATTGATAGAGGTACAAAAATGGAAAAATGTAATTTAATCTACAGTACTCTTCTTGAGCGCCCAAAACGTGGAAGACCAAGAGTCCTTCAGTTTCAAGTCTGCCCCGCTCATCCTTTGAAGAACCACGGAGTCGACCGAAGGGAACGTCCCAGGTCGCCGGCCTGGGCTCAAGGGCTCAGCCCCACCTACCTGCGAAAAGCAGACTACAACCTGCTTGGCATGGCCCTGGCATGGCCCTAGTGCCCTATATAGGCCACGCCAACGCCTCAGTGTCGCCAAACCGAAACACCCTGGCCCTGGAGGATTCATCCGGTCTGGGGGCGAGCCTTTCCAGTGTCTAACGTCGCCTTCGGAACACCATAAAGACAGTAGTGTAGGATGAGCCCAGCTACTTGCGAAAAGCAGCCTACGGCCTATCCGGACACGCCGCAGAAGGCACTGAGTGGACTCAGCCAACCGTTCCACCACCCTGTGGTGTCCGAGGCGCCGCCCCACCAAGGCATGGGGTCGGCGGATTACCTCTCTATATATAAACTCTGTGCCAGGTCAAAGCTTTGGTGAAAGAGGCCTTTGAAGCACCTTTGGCAACTCAGCTTGAACAAGCTGTGGCCTGTCATTGCTCTCTTCCGTGCCAGCTGCTAGCCTCGAGGGTACTTCTGTGCCGAACAACTCCGAATCACACAGATTCATCCTAGCTTGAAGCCTGCAAAACCATAAAGCCTCACAAGAGATGCAAGACAATTGCAGGCTGCAAGCCACCCTGATGTCAGCGGCATGTTGAGTCTAGATCTTCCAAGGTACGGGAACTTCAGTGGGCGACCGGTTTTCCTAATTGAGTGGGTCTGTTCGCCAACCAGCCATACCTACGTAGTGGGTGAACACGGGTCGCTGAATTTCAAGAACCAGGACAGCCACGGGCTCGTGACAGTTTGCCTAGGATATTCAAAAGATGATCCGCGCTGGACACTCAAGTGCCTGAAGAACCTTTGGGTTTGGGGCAAAGCGAGTCAAGTGAGGATGTTTCTCCGGGTGGCATTGTTTGAAGGTCACTTCCGCTGCATCACTCTTGCATTAGAAGCAGATGTTTGGACTTCACGCCATCCCGGACTGTAAACCTGCTGCCATTGCTGGTGGAGATTGTCTCAGGGTTGTTTTGAAAGAGGATATACTTATACTGCTTCCTCCTCTGGCTCCTTTGAATCTATATATATATAGGAATCTAGGTGCATGGGACATTGGTTTCTTTGCAGGAGGAACTGTCCGTGTAATATTTATACATATCCTATATACAGTATATAATATATTGTAATATAGAGGGACACTACTATTCTCGACAGGAACTGTACATTTTCGACAAGAACTTTTGTCCGACAACAATGGGAGTCGCACATTCCTGTTCTGGACAATATGGTGTTGGCACGGCTCTAGCACGGCAGCGGAACACTTGATGACGAAAACCGAAGCCTGCTTCTTTTGGACCATAGGAGGCTTCAAGCGACTTGTTTGGAGCACCTTTTCAATGATGCGTGCAGTTGCCAGCGCCCTCAACTGTCAAAACAGTTGTGGCTCCAGTCTCGCCTCAATTCACATCGCGTCAAAAGACACAAGATGATCAATCCGATTCACTTTGTAGTTGGGCTTTGGACTTGTTAATTAATTGTCGAGACACGAAATGCGTTGTCTTGTCGACCCTTTTGTGTTGCATGGTTTTTAAACCTACTGTGGGACAATAAAACATGGTTGACATTGTTTATAGCGACGGACAACCACTTAGAACCTCGTTGTTCTTTTCCAAGCATTGCCCTGGTAAGGAATGTTCTAAGCGTAAGAACAGTGAGGAAATTGTCCTTGTTAGAACATCCTCGTATAGGCTATGAACATGAGAGAACGCACAGTCGATGAATAAACTCTGTGGAGATGCGCTTGTTTGCGAACAATGCACATGGGCAACAATGATGTTCTAAGTGATGTAGATGTTGTAAGACACGGGTATTAAGGATGTTCTAACACAAAGACTAAGAACATCGCAATGTTCTAGGCCTGGATTTTTTGCAAGC